TGCTCACTTACTCATTTGGTTCCTCATTGCTCATTTTACTTGCACATTTGGTTTCTCATTTGCTCGTTTTGGGTGCTCATTTGCTCATTTGATTGCTCATTTACTCATTTTTCCTTGCTCAGTCGCTCATTTTAGTTGCTCATATGCTCATTTTGGTTGCTCATTTGCTCTTTTTGGAGTGTTACCTGTTCTATTGTTATAAAGTACACACTCTTAAGTCATTATGTAAACAATTGATTAAACTTTACATTTTTTCTGATGAAAGTAAAATACAATATCAAGAAGAAGAAATACTAGATACTAAAGTAGCTTATTAGATGAGTTGACCACAGCTGGTCTAGACTTATTAATAATATTTTGTCCTAATTTTCTTTTTCATAGTTTTAAACCAATATTTGATTATAGTTTCCTTTGTAGATTTTGACCGAATTAGTTAATCCTTTATGGTAACATTTTTCTATTGTGTACTTTAGACCATATTTATGTGACCCCTACAATTATGTTTCGTTTTCTTTTGTTATGGAAGAACAGTGCGCCATTTTTTATTCAAATCTAATAAGGCATCCATTTTTTTTTTGGGCGGGATTAAAACATTTGTGTGCTAAGCTTTCTATTGTTATTCATGACACACGTGTGTCACCCATTCTATTGTTTAAGTGTACACATGATTACGTCATTATGTAAACAATTGCCTGTGGATCCCCCCCCATTCATCAATCGTATGTTTTTCTTGAACATTTTAATTTGATTATTTGTTTTTCGTTTAAAGAAACCGGTTTTTAAGTCAGAGACAATTCTGTTTTGATAATGTAATTACCAGGACTGTTTCTGTATAGCACTGCGCCCAGAGTCACGCATACAACGGCGATTGCTCGCGCGATTTACTTCCGTTACAGCAGGTTTTCTTCTTTGTCTGCGGGCGCTGCAGTTTTATGCAAGAATAGATATTGCTGCAGTTCTAAGCCAGTATAGATATCAATGCACGCAGAAAGCAGAATTTATGGATTATTTCCGGCGATTAAAAGCATTTTTGACAAAAGCAAGAAGACATTGCGTATTGGTATTTACGTATCAAAACATAGCTGCACTAGCGTTCTTATTATTTAAATTGTGTCTTCACATCTCAAAATCATTTAAAGATTAACGAAGGATATTTCAAGCATAATGTTCTTTGTGATTCCAGAGTAAGCAAAGTTTCATAAAAAGATATAGCACATTTTATTAAATAAAACCAACTATTTCCCAGTATTTGCACCATGTGGTGTTCCAATATAGATTCATATTGTATTCAATACTATCAAATTAGCCTCTTTTTCGTGAAACCGATTTCAAAAAATCCAAATTAATTGCATATTGCACTCCATCTGGCGTCTTTTCATTTCCTAAGCACAAAAAATATATATTGTTTTCTGCCTAGCCTTATTTTCATTATCCGTGACCAAAGGTTCCATATCTAATCCATATTGTACCCGAAGTAACTGTATCGTTGATATGATGTAAACCACTTTCCCCTCACCGTTGTGGGTGCTAGCTTACGGATCGTCGGTGGTTTTACTCAGGTACCCGTTCGTGTGTGCCTAAAATAATGCATGAGGACCACCTGAGGTCTTCCTCCACCAGATTCTTTAATTACAATACAAACAATTCACATTCGTATTTAATCTTGACATTATAAATATTTCTTTGTTCACTATCCTATTGGCGTTTAAAATCTCATAGTTTATAGATAGTTCTTCCCTCATTTTCGTTTAATAATCTCGGCAAAGTACATTATATCTTTTTATTGCGCCTTGAATGACATCATATTTCTAGAATACATATATAAAGCCTCGCTTTGATTGTGATAAAGTAAAATATCAAACAGAAGTTGAAATAACTCTATTAATGACGTTTCTAACTGCAGGTAATAAAAAGAAATGGCAATAATGAATGAGTGTTCAAGCAGGTGGAAATGAACTTGAATTAGATACTTGTAACTTATTTACAAGCAAATCCATGTAGCCTACAGTAACGCTATGAACAATATATTGTTTACATCTTGAACAATATAAATTTTTCATCGATTACTAATAATAGTAGTATAAATGTCCAAATATAGTACCAGAAACTTTTATGTTTTATAATTACAAGAAGTTTATAAAAAAGTGGATGTTCAACTTATCGTATATCGCGTTCATACGGTGAAAGGGGCTTATAGTAATTATTCGAGTATTTTACTACGCCTGAAATAGTGCACAAAAGTGCACAAAAGACGTCTGATGGTTTTACTCAAGCATTTAAGCTGTCGAGATTTCCGTATTACAAGTATGTAGTTCTATTTGAGATTTCTACTGTGCCTGAAACAGTGCACGAAAGACGTCTAAAAAATTCCTCAATGCCTTAAATAGTGAACGAATGGCGTCTAAGGGTTTTACTTAAGCATTTAAGCTGTTGAGGGGGAACTTACGGCAAGTATATAGTTCTATATATAGAAGATATTAAATGAGTGTAAGTAAGTTCAATACTGAATTTATTGCACGAGTTGAATAAAATTATATTATGCGAGCCTCTGGCGATTCAACAGATCAACCACAGGTTACAAATCTTGTTTCCTGCAATGAAAACTCTTATCTGCATTTATTTTTGTGGTTCGTAGATAATACCGACCTGTCGGTCTATACAGAATTTATTAGTTCGATTGTCTAGGGAGCTATAAGATTAAAGGCACAATCTCGAATCGGTTCTGGAACCAAACAGTACGAAGTGTAACATTTCTTGTTCAAGGAAACAACGGCTTGCCCCTGACGGGTTTTGACCACGCCTAGATTACTGGTCACTGACCTATTAATAGCTATACTAAATAGAACAATTTAATATTTGTTAAAATATTTAAAAAAAAAACAAATACAGCTCAGTTTTTCTTGTGTATTATTGCAAAATATATGTTTGTAGAAAATACAAATGTTAACTGTACAAAATAAGATTTTACAAAAAAAAAATATTTTAAACAAAACATAAATATATACATCATGTAACGATATTTGATTTTATTTTTATACTTGTTGCAACATACATACGAATTAGTTTGGATCGAGTGTGTTGGAAGCTTTAAGATTAATTAATCACTCTCGGATCCGAAACAACTGCTTGCCCAGGAACTGGGTTGAAGCCACACGGATATCAATCCTTAGATCACTAGCCTGACGAGTTAACCACTCGGCCACGCCGAAATTAATTTCTTTTTCCACACACACGTTTACTAAAAATATGTGTTCACATGTTGTTGCAATCAAAGCCGAGCACCATAAAAACAAAAACAAAAAAATCCACCGCACACACAAACAAAAAAACACTTAATTATATCACAATTATATATATTATTAATTTAAGAGTAAATGTCTAAAAATCTATTTGAATGAGTAAACACCTCTGGGGACCTACTGCATTATAGGAACAACCTGTGAGTCCAAAAACATCTTACTTTTATTGTGTTCGGCTTATCAAATATAGAGGTTCGTATAATGCTAGAAGGTCCGCAGTTCTGAGTAGTGTTTATTATTTTGTACCACATTTTTCTACCACATTTTTCTATCACATAAACGATAAACATTTGCATGGGACAAGAAATTATATTATTTCAATATTAGTTAATTTAAAGTAAACAGTAAAAAGAAAAAGAAAACATTCGGCAGTCATTTAGTTATGACAGCGCGGTTTTTTAAATGTTGACTTAGTAAAACTTTTGCAAAAACATACAAAAAAAACATTATATTGCCCGTATATCTATAAAAGTACTTATGTTTCATGTCGTTTTTTTATAATTCCATATCTTGATGTCTTCTATAAATGAAAAGTTTATAAATCAGTTAATTGTTAAAGTACATTTAAAAATCCCGATAACAAAATGAAAGGAAGACTCTAACTTTATGTAAAGTATTGTGTCCAAAGGTAATGAGGTAGACATTTTTAAAGACATTTGTAAAAAAAAATGCCCTAAAAATAAGTGTGTATCTCAAAAACAAATATACACATGTATATATATAATATAATTTGCATAATATTATCATATATCTAAATAAAACGAAATATGTTGGTTTTTATTTTTCAAATTATCCAACATCTCCTCTCAAACTTACTGTAAGTAACAAAAAGCATACAATATCAAATTCTTACACAAAGTGTTCTGTGTTCTTTATAAACTCAAGGAGTATAGTTGATCGAGTAAGTTTGTTCTTTTCTTTCCAATTAGTGAACAAATATCAATAAATGTCATTTCCTAACATACACAACAGCGTTATCAAAGCTGGTACAAATATCTATATTTGTACCTTACAAGAGTTATCATGATAAGTTATTAAAGGGATTCCACAAAGGTTTTTTGACATGACGGGACTGGAAATAATTTTATGTAGATTTAGACCAATTATAGCTTGTGTTAAAAATTTCAGATAATTCGCCCACACCTTTATTCCAAAATGAATATTCTAATTGTAAAAATGATCCGAAATTGAAAAAGCATTGCAACGTTTTTCACTCAAACCAGGCTAAATATCACACAAAAAACGATTTTCAATATATTCTGAGTATACTTCTTAAATATTTTTTTGCATGTGTGTCTGTTTAAAAGGTCCCAGTCGTTCTATGTAAGAAATTCAAATTTCATTTTTTAGACTTCCGAACCTCAGTGGATTTCCTTTAATAACTCCGCGTGAGATGAAGCATGTTCAGTTCCAATAGATATTACGTCACAGGTTTCAAAAATTATCCCAATATTATACAAAACAAATTATAGACTTTGTACATCCGGCAATCATTATGATGTTGCTGAATCAATAATTCGCATCGATTAGATACCATTTTTGTATTGGGGGTTATTAAAATGGTGATCACCATTGCCATTATGTCTGTCCCCATTGCTGTGTACAGAGTCATTGCCGTTTGATTTAATGATTAAACCAGTGCTGTTCGTATTATCAGCTGATTGCTTACGTGGGCGCGAATCCGTGCCACTGGTCGTGCTCTTATATTGGGATTTCTTGCAGCAAATCTTTCTCCATGCCTTTCTTATCTGAAATAAATTGTCAAGTATTTTACCTGAAATTAATTTTCAAGTGTGTTGTCAAATACGGAAGCGCTTAAAGGACATGCGAGACTTTTTTTATTATCAACACGTGGCCATTTCATTTATCACCGCGTGGCCAACATTTAACTTTTTTACTTTTTATAAAAGCTCATGTCTTTGAGGTAATCCTTTGAGTATTGATACACGAGTTAACTTGTTATCTTTCCCTTTTTACCTTTTTTACCTCGTGACTACACGGCAATAATAAATATAAATTCCACATTTCTCCTCTATGCTTCCGTAGTTTAATGGTGAAACTTAAATTACGAAATGTAAGAAATGTTTGCGGGGGCTTGTGTAGACGTCGACCAAGTTAATAATTGGAAAAAGGATATGACAATTAATTAAAAATGAAACAACATGACTGTATGCAAATTTATAGGCAAAACAAGTAGAACGTGGGAATTTTCTAATTTTTTGAAGACTTTTTGATATGACATATGTCCCGGAAATATGCATTTTAAAAAGCAGCAGACATTTCAATGAAACGGACTATTTCTTTGTCATAAGTTATATCACATTGCCTTAAAAAAACATAATTCAAATTTTTATGTCACTCATGAACATTGTGTAATAATTTTGCGACAATTTTCATTGTAATCTTTAAACAAAAAAATTTAAGTGAATGAGCTGTGCGTCAAATTTATATTGCGGCCATTTTGAAAATGGTGGCCATCTGAGGTATTTTCATGCCCACTAAATTTTTGAAATCTACATGGTCTAAACATGATTTCCTGAAAATTTCATGTTTGTATCAACACTTACACTATTTTCTCAATTCCCAACTACTATGTATATGTATAAGAAATACTCATTGATTTAACTCGACGAGCAATTGTTTTCTTTAGAGTATGATTTTAAACATGGCATACTTTCTTTTCATGGTATAGATTTTATCATTAGATTTACAAAACACGTGATTGGGAAAACGATTACTTTGCCGCTTTTTAGTTTCACGGCTTTTATAAGTTATGCGATAAAAAGAAACATTATTATAGAATTTTAAAATTTAGCTCGTTATAAAACTCGCAACAGCCTCGTTTTCAGACTCCTTTCCAAGACTTGAATATAATATAGTCTGTTTCAAATGTAAATTCATTTAAGATTCTATACGCAACTTATGTCAGATGTAGTATTGTGTTTTCGGGGTTACTGAACATTTTAAGTCAAAAAAACCCCATCCTTTTAAACAATTGCGATTTTTTAATGGGGCTTTTAGAGTATATAATTGAAATTCATCACCCAAAAATGACTAAAAATTGATTGAGAGATGTCATCAATATACCCGGATTTTGTTTTTTCTCAGTGCTGTGAACAGTTAAGAAAATGAAGAAGGGCCCTGGAAGCGTTGAATATGGCGAACAAGTAATGGAAACACAATCCCTCGTGTTATCAACCCGGTTAGGAATCCGAAACACCCATGTCAAACCTGTAGTGAATTAAATAAAAAAACATTAAATACCGAGTTAAAAAATTTAAAATTATTAATTATTTTTGCGAGGACTCTGGCCAAAAATACCGTAAGAACTGTTTACAGTGAAAAAAGAATCACTTGTTGTTGTTTTTCTTTTTCTTTATTATTATTATTATTTCTTTTTTTTATTATTGCTTTCTCTTTGGGATAATCTTTGGATGTATACTCACCTAAGATTACAAGAATAGATACCCCGGCCTGAAAATGAAGGAATGCCATCTTCTTTTCGGACTGATTGGAAACCATGCCTTTATGCTTTCTTCTACATAAATTACACATGACCATAAAGAAAACAATAATGTTCGCAAAAATGATCACAGCAACGGGAATAATAAATGCGTACAAAAACGGTTTCCATGACAACCAGCAACTAAAATAAAAAATAGTACTTTTAGTATTCATAAATTTGTATGTATATATACATGTATTATGCTTGAATAGTATAGCAATAGCAAAGTGGCATTCTGCATATGTAAAGAAAATATACTAGGTGTCCGAAGCAGAGAAAATATTAATGGCTTTTTATATTTAGTAAAAATGTGATGGGTATGGATTTTAAAACGTCCAATTATAAATTATTGAGTTTGCTTCAAGTTTTGTGTTGGTCGCACAAACACTGTAGGGGTCATATGGCGACTTTCAAGCTTTGTTGGTGGTGTCCCTCCGTGCATTATTTCGGGTAAAAACGGGCAAGGGGAAGGGTAAGTGGTTTGAAGTCAACGTCCATAACCACTCGCCCACGGACGCCCTTGTCCCAATTTTTCACGCTGAAATTGGTAAAAACAACAACGAAACCCTAAAAAAAACTAAAAAACCGAAGAGTTACAGACATACATAGTATCAAATGGATGGCATCCTTTAGTGTAGAAATAAACTCTGTTGGTGACGGCATTTATAATACAAATGTATTAGACTTACCATCCATGGCCCAGATGCTTCAGCTGACCAAAAATGTATATTTGGTTTATACAGAATTTATTTTAGTTTCATTGTGTAGGTATGCTTTAAGGCTTAATAGACAGCACTTTCGAAACTCTGTCCTCTGAACCAACCAGTTACTGCACGCGATGAGTGTAAGGAAACAACTCTGACTTTGCCCCACTGACGGTGCGTATATTGAAACCCATGTCGGTAGCGGGATCTATTAAGATTATAATAGTCCGACGCGTTAACCACTCTGCCATCTCGCCACTGATTTATGTTTATTTGATATAGACCATGCGGAAAGGATTTCTTCAAAACGTTCAAAAGTAAACTGAAATTAATAAATGTATATTTTCATATTGCTTGTCGTATTCAAATTTTTGAAATGTTTAATACAACATATATTCTTACTATCCGTTTCCACCATAATACATGTCGTAGTCTATTGCAAGTACGATTATCACCGGAATAAGTGGCAGACCTGAAAAAGAAGAAAACAATGTCCACTATTTAGCAAAACACTTTCAGCTAAGTACCAAGATTTCAAGTACCAAGATTTCGTTACCATCATTTATATTGACGACAGTTTAAATTCGAGACTTCTTTCCGATGTTGTACATGCTTTTCACCGAATATAGCTCCAATTTGGTTCTCTATTCCTAAGACTACCTAAAGCATGGGACAAGGCTTAATAAAAACTATGTTATACATGGATGTCCGATGTCTGAATTTAATTCTTAAACCAATCACAGGTCTCCTTAGCAAAAACAAAAAGCTTACCCCATGCCGGTATCATTGTCTTGAACATAAATTTAGGTATATATGTTCCTAGAACCTTCACGAATCTCAGATACTGCAAAAGTCCTTCAACCAACATCCACAAAAAGGTCACCAGTATGAAATAATGTAGCATTGCCGAGACGGCTATACATCCTCCATACGACTCCGTACGATCAACCCCTACCAGAAACAAAACAGACGAACACAGCATAGCGACGCTTAAGTTGATAAGAACTTGTTGACCACGCCCATTTCTAAGATGTCTGAAAAGTACAGTTCTGAACAGTTCATTGAAAATGCTGGGCCTCTTAGAGGCATATCAGTGCACTCATTGGCTATACAATAATATATATATGTTTTATAATATATAAATCACATATCATAAAGCAGATATCCCACAAAATATACTTAGTGTACTACATGGCAAATATAAATCAAACTAGAACTGGTCCAAAGGACACGATGCCCCCACTGACAACATATAGCATATGGTATATAGTGAAAAAATCAAACTAAGTAGGGCCATAATTCTGTTAAATTTGGTTACGCAGCAAAAATTCCCTCCCTTACTTCCATCTACACATTAAGTTTGTTCATCCCTGGAAGTTTAAGCAAAAGTCTACCATCCGGTTTAAGAGGAGTTGCGTTCACAAAATTTCTATATGGTATATTAGTGAAAAATCAACAAAGGGCCATAATTCTGTTAAATTTGGTCGCAGCAAAAATTCCTTCCTTTACTACCATCTTCACATTAAGGTTGTTCATCCCTGGAAGTTTAAGCAAAATCTGCCATCCGGTTTAAGAGGAGTTGCGTTCACAAATTTCTATATGGTATATAGTGAAAAAATCAACAAAGGGCCATAATTCTGTTTAAATTTGGTTCGCAGCCAAAATTCCTTCCTTTACTACCATCTACACATTAACGTTTGTTCATCCTGGAAGTTTAAGCAAAATCTGCCATCCGGTTTAAGAGGAGTTGCGTTCACAAAATTTATATATGGTATATAGTGAAAAAATCAACAAAAGGGCCATAATTTCTGTTAAAATTTTGGTTGCAGCAAAAATTACTTTCTTTACTACCATCTACATATTAAAGTTGTTCATCCCTGAAAGTTTCAGCTAAATCTGCCATCCAATTTAAGAGGAGTTGCGTTCACAAAATTTATATATGGTATATAGTGAAAAAATCAACAAAGGGCCATAATTCTGTTAAATTTGGTCGCAACAAAAATTCCTTCCTTTCCTACCATCTACACATTAAGGTTGTTCATCCCTGGAAGTTTAAGCAAAATCTGCTATCTGGTTTAAGAGGAGTTGCGTTCACAAAATTTCTACATAGTATATAGTGAAAAAATCAACAAAGGGCCATAATTTTGTTAAATTTGGTCGCAGCAAAAATTCCTTCCTTTACTACCATCTACATACTAAGGTTGTTCATCCCTGAAAGTTTAAGCAAGATCTGCCATCCGGTTTAAGAGGAGTTGCGTTCACAAGATTTCGGGACGTACGGACAGACGGACGGACGGACGTACGGCGTGACGGACGGACAAGTGCAACGCTATATGCTCCCACTCTGTGGGGGCATAATGAAAGTGTACAATATGAAATTTGTTCGGTAATGGTCACGAGATACGATACGGCAATTTCCGTGATTTATCATACGAAACCCTTTGCTGATTACCCACAACCCTTCTGTAAAATAACAAGTGAAGGAAACTACTTCTATCATTTGAAATAAATGTAAAACTTCGCATAATTTAAATAATACATGCATGTATAAAACACACAGAGAGCCGCAGGCAGGAAAATAAAGTTTTTGACAAAAAAAATATGATTGAAAAATATGTCATCAGTTACAATCAATTTAAGATACCGACGGGCTTTTAAAATCACATCTGAAATACCATAAACAGCAATTTGGACATGAATGCAGTCGGAACAACTCGGTTATTATTCCTTATCCGAATACTGACGGAAAGGGCCGAGAAGTGGCGATTGACAGGAATTAAGTACCAACATTATACTCAAATATTTTTTTTAATTTACAACATTTAAGTCGACTTTATCACAATATAATATAAAATGAAATGGTTCAACAATTTGAAGCAATCACGTTTCATCGGATTACAAGAATATTTTTATTCAACTCCAAATTACCATATTCGGTCGGTGTATCAATATATTCATTGTGCTCAAGGCCTTTGCCGAAGGGCAAAAAAAGTGTGACTGAATCTACGAAGTAGCTTTTCTTTTAATATAGTGAAACAAATATATATTACATATTATTAAAATATTTTTAAAATTGACACATATTGTGTATCAAGGTCAAAAGTTAGTATGGCTTTTTTTAAACGCTCGAAGTTTTCAATGATTTTGTCTATCCACATAATTGCATTATTACAAATATCATAATAAAAAAGAAGTGCTATTTATCAAAGCCAATGCCGTGGATAATATATTTTAACGACTATAGTTATGAATCCTATAGTTAATCGTAATATAACAAAAATTACAAATAGAGGATATTTGTTTGTTTTGCATGTAAGATTGAAATATAATTTCACTGAGTGAACACCAGATGCCATATTTTCACGAGTGGCGTAGCCACGAGTGAAAATATAATAGCTGGTGTTCACGAATGAAATATATTTCAATCTTATATGTAAAACAAATAAATTTTCTTTTTATTTCATGCTTTTTAAGTGATTTTAAGTATTTTTTACTGATTTTGCCGCGTAACGTCGCGCATTCTCCATTGTGACGTCATCACATCATGACGTCACATCATTAATTTTGAAATATAGTTCTGTTAAATTTTGTCTAATTTTGTTTCATTTTTAACATGATGTATGGTGACATTGCCTTTCTTTTCCTAAAGAAGCAAAATTTACGCATGACAGCATTTATTTCTGCCTGTTACTCCATTTCGTTATGATTTTCTATTCATCCGCATTTAGATATAGTCCGGCTACAGTGAAAATTATATTTTATAAATTTCACTAGTGGTTTATCAGAATATAATCATCTGATATATTACAATAAAACACTGGAAAGCATGAAATAAATGCTATTTCTATAGGAGTTCAAATGATTAAAGTTATCATTTCACCAAATATGTATAATACGAGCTATACTATTTTTGAAATTTCTTATTTATTTATTTATTTATTTATTTATTTATTACTTGTTTATTTATTTATTTACTTATTTATTCATTTATTTACTTTTATTTATTTATTTATTTATTTATTTATTCATTAATTAATTAATTTATTTATTTATACTTATTTATTTATTTACTTATTTATTTATTAATTTATTTATTTATCTATTTATATTTATTTATTTATTTTATTTATTTATTTATTTTATTTATTTATTTATTTATTTATTTGCATACTCCATTCGATTACGTCGTATTTGTTTTTGAAATATTATAGTTGTATGAAGACCCGGTTTTATCTGAAGAAACTGTTTTAATTCATTAAATCTTATCTTCCTATTTTCTTTTCATCTTCCCTGTTCTTAATTTTGCTGATGACTTGTGCATAACCTATAATTTAAATCATTTTGTAGTATAAGCAAAAACTTAAGTATCTACTATTTATTTATTTCAAGATAAGCAGAGTGATGAGCTCAAGAACACCTATTGATCCTTTATCATTTTTAAACCGAAAATAGACGAGAAGTTAAGTATGATATATTGATTTGATTTTGACATTGCATTTGTTATTGTCGCTTAATAAGGTAATTGATCACTTTATCAGGTGATTTTGATTTATTTAAACCGAAAGTGCATTTGAAATAAAATCGTTTGGAATTGAATACATTGACAGGTAAATTTATTATTCATTTTTAGAAACCGAAAGTACATTTGAAAAATAAAATCAATTTTAAATAAATACATTGCCGGATAAACTTATTAATCCTTTTTTGAAACCGAAAGTACATTCGAAATAAAATCAGTTGGTAATAGGTAAATTTATTTATTTATTTATTTATTTATTTATTTATTTATTTATTTATTTATTTATTTATTTATTTTATTTATTTATTTTTGGAAAGCGAAAGTACATTTGAAATAAATTGGAATTGAATACCTTGTCGGTTAAATTTTTTATTTTTTGTTGTTGTTGTTTTTTTTGTTTTTTTTGTTTTTTTTTTTACCGACTTTGCATTTGAAATAGAACCACTTTAAAGCTAGGATTAGGATAACTAGGACAGTACACTGTGAGTAAACATTGATCGGTTACGAATCCTTCATGCATGGCTTAAACAATATGCATATTTTATACTGACACGCAATAATAAGAATAAAGGGTTTCATTTTTTTATTATGATAAACATAGTCTTAATCCAATACTATATCAATTACAATATGCGATCAATTTAAATGTTTAAATTTCTATTTTATTTCAGTCAAGTCAATAAAACTAAGTTTCACAAAAGCTGAAGTATGGGAAGTAAACCTAGTGCACAAAGACAGATAATTGTACCTTACCCATCTGAAAATGGCCAGAATTGCCCTGGTGAAAATACAGATTACACCGTATATACGGATAGCGGGAATAGAGAGGATTCAAGTTTTGGCGATCCCCTTTTAGTTACAGCTATTGATTTTGGAACGACATATTCGGGCTCTGTATTTTGTTTTAAAGGCTACAAAAATAGAATTTTGGCAGGGACGCAGGGTTTCTATCAAGACGATGAACGGATACCGACTGTTATTTTATTAAATCCTGACCAAACTTTCAATTCCTTCGGATACGAAGCGCAAGATACGTATAGCAAGCTTAAAGAAGAAAAAGCTCAATATTTTTATTTTGAACATTTCAAAATGGCGCTGTATAAGAACATGGAGTCATCATCAAACACAACCACTTTAATGGATATCAGAGGAAGACGAGTAAAAGCAAAAGATATTTTTGTAATGCTCATTAAAAATCTGCTTCACCTTGCAATGGATATAGTAAAGGGACTACAAACACGTGATATAGCCTGGATTGTCACCATACCAGCGTCGTGGTCTGAATCGTCTAGGAAGCTCGTACAAGATTCCGTATTATCCGTGGGAATAGAGGATAAAAATCTTCATTTTGTTCTTGAACCCCATGCGGCAGCCGTGTATTGTATGAATGTGGACACATCTTCAACTTCTAGTCCTATGTCAAGGCCCCCCAAAGAACTTCATTCTGAATTAGCTGATACCGCAGAAGAAACGGGCATAACAGTCGGAGACAAATGTATTATCTTAGATATCGGCGGAGGTTCAACAGATATTTGGGTTTATGAAGTAGAAGGTCAAAATGAATTAAAAGAAATGCATAAAGCTACCGAAGAAATTGGAGGCAACTCTGTGAATTCTGAATTTATTGAGCTAATGAAAGGTCTTGTGGGAGAACCCGTCTGGTCCGACTTTCAAGAAGACTATACTGGTTCCTATTACACGTTAATGCGAGACTTTGATCGGAAGAAACGATCGTTCTCCAATGATGTTGACAGTGTTACAATGTCGTTAGAAAATGAGCTTCTGCACGTTCTTAAAGAGACAACAGGAGACACGCTTAGTGACGTCATAACAATGATAGGGGCAGACGACAAAATAAAATTCAAAAGTCATCTCAATAAAGTAACTCTGGATAAAGAGACAATGGAAGAACTGTTCGAAAAGTCTGTTGACGCAATTGTACAACTAATAGAGAAAACTCTGCGTGTCTGTCAGAAATGGAGTGTACATACCATGTTTATGGTGGGAGGGTTTTCCGAATCTCCTTATCTAAGGGAAATAATAAGATCAAAATTTAGCGAAATAAGAGTTGTCTTTCCTGACGATGCAAAGCTTGTCGTTCTGAGAGGGGCAGTGATTTTGGGATATCAGTCACAATAGGCGGTACACAGTTTTAACTAGAACTCCGCGAGTCGGATGTGTCGCCTTGTGAACAATGTAGTTTAGGGGAAATGGCCAGGACAAAAATGAAAAATGAAAAATAACAAAGGGCAATAACTAAAAAAATAATAAGTGCAGAGCAGCAGTTTCTGTACACTGCACTTCTTATCAATAAGATCTATCATTCTATGATGTTTCAAGTCCATAGCTTTCATACTTGAGGAGAAATGACCAGGACAAAAATAAAGTAAGAAAATCAACAAAGGGCATTAACTCAAAAATAAGAAATGCAGGGTATCAGTTCTTATGCACTGCACTTCTTTTTAATGAGATCTATCATCCTATGAAGTTTCAAGTCCATAACTTTTATACTTTCAGAGAAATGGCCTGGACAAAAATCAAGTATGAAAATTAACAATGGGCCATAACTCAAAAAATAAAAAATGCAGAGTACCAGTTCTTGTGCACTGCACTTCTTCTTAATGAGACCTATCATCCTATGAAGTTTCAAGTCCATGGCTTTTATACATTAGGAGAAATGACCCGGACAAAAATAAAGTATGAAAATTAACAAAGGGCAATAACTCAAAAATTAGGAAGTGCAGAGTACTGGTTCTTGTGCACTGCACTTCTTAATAATGAGATCTATCATCCTATGAAGTTTCAAGTCCATAGCTTTTTTAGTTGAAGAGAAATGGCCCGGACAAAATTAAAGTATGAAAATTAACAAAGGGCAATAACTCAAAAAATAAGAACTGCAGAGTACCGGTCCTTGTGCACTGCACTTCGGGTTATTGAAAGAAGCATGCATACCAAGTTTGAAGTCAATCAGACTTATAGTGACTGAGTTATGCTCCGGACAAGCTTTAGGGGACGCCGACGACGACGCCGACAACGACGCCGCCGCCGACACCGCCGACAAAAGTAACCCCTATATGTCACCTTTTCAAGGCGACACAAAAACGGAAATCGATAGCATTACTTATAACGGGACTGAGTTTTAAGCGCGGAGATGACAACAAGTATATCTAAAGACAATACATAGTTACATAGTACAGAATTCATTTTATAAAATTAATAATACATGTACACAATTTGAAGTAGGGATGACGACTTTTTTTTAAATCAGACACAGCACAGTGAGTGAAGGAACTTATCCATTACTTTGTGTTGTCTTAATTTGTCACATTTGTTAATGCACATGAGAATTTGAAAGAAGCTGACAACGAAAATGTAATGTGTTTGAAGCATTCAGACAAAGTGCTTCAGTCAATTACAAACGGTAAAGTAAGCATAAAAATGGCTGTTTCAAAAACACGAAGGAATTTGTTATCTTAAAAATAAAAATATTCATTGTAAAATTATCATTATACAATAATTATGACTTTGGCAACTTCTGTGATAAATGTAAATAGTATTAGCAAAGTTCTTTTCGAATTATAATTGCCGACATGTATTCCATCTTATGAATAACAAATGACGTAATATTTATTGTTAAAGGCACATTATGCCACAGAAATCTATAATTTTTTTTATATTTTTTTTAGAAACTTTAAACGTGTGTTCTATAATGGATTTAGAGCATATTAGATGTTTAACAACTTCAAAAGTTGAGCTGAATATGCAGTAATGTGTAGCTACCTTTAGTAGCAACATGTAAACAAAGTAGTATTTTGACTTCCATTCAAAATACTCATTAGAGCAAAGTAACTAAACGATAGTTTATCTATCTATGTCGTGATTTTATTTTTTGTTTCTTTTGAAACTGTAACAAGATACAAAAAAATATAATATAGTTTTTGATAGAGAAAAAATGATAGCATTTCTGAGGCATACTGGGCCTTTAAATATTTAAACCATGTAATTTATATCAGAAAAGTAATAAACAAGAGCTTAATATTGTATTATCATTTATATATTATTTCTTATTAATTACATTTTACTACATTTATACTCTCTTGCTCAAATGCATTATTGTTTATTACTTATACAATTGTCTTTTGTCTAAATTTAATCATCATTTATTTTCTTTACATTAAAAAGCGCCAGCAGAATAGGACCATATTTTCATTCTTTTACTTCATTTCAAACTCTAGTCACTTTTCTTTACATGATAAATGGTACCTTTCGTATAATTCAGAAACTGATTTTGTGTTTTATTAAATATGTTAATTTAATAATGTTTGTTTATTGATGAAATTTAAATGAATGAATGAATGAATGAATGAATGAATGAATGAATGAATGAATGAATGAATGAATGAATAGATAAAAACAAGAGCACCGCTAGGCGGAGCATTATATGCCCGAAAGTGTTTTTTTTCTAGTAAGGATGAAGCATTCATTAGACATGGGAATTAGCTGTTCATCCTATAAAATTTTACAGATGTAGGTTGATTAATACTTAAGTCATTAATAATGACCTTAACCTTTGACCTTGTGACCCTAAAATCAATAGGGGTCTTCTACCTTATATGGACAATCATCCTATGAAGTTTGAATATGTGGGTCAAATGGAACCTAAGTTATGCTCCGGAAACTGTTTTCAGTATCAAGGTAATAGTGACCTTGACCTTTGACCTTTTGACCCCAAAATCAATAGGGGTCTTCTACCTAATATGGACAATCAACTTATGAAGTTTGAACATTGTGGGTCAAATGGAACTTAAGTTATGCTCCGGAAACTGTTTTCTGTATCAAGGTAATAGTGACCTTGACCTTTGACCTTGTGACCCCAAAATCAATAGGGGTCTTCTACCCAATATGAACAATCATCCTATGAAGTTTGAACATTGTGGGTCAAATGGACTTAAGTTATGCTCCGGAAACTGTTTTCAGTATCAAGGTAATAGTGACCTTGACCTTTGACCTTGTGACCCCAAAATCAATAGGGGTCTTCTACCCAACATGGACAATGATCCTTTGAAGTTTGAACATTGTGGGTCAAATGGAACTTAAGTTATGCTCCAGAAACTGTTTTCAGTTTTAAGGTAATAGTGACCTTGACCTTTGACCTTGTGACCCCAAAATCAATAGGGGTCTTCTACCCAATATGGACAATCATCCTATGAAGTTTGAACATTGTGGGCCAGATGAAACTTAAGTTATGCTCCGGAAACCAAATTGCTAACGGACAAATTGCTAACGGACGGAAACTGTTTTCAGTATCAAGGTAATAGTGACCTTGACCTTTGACCTTTTGACCCCAAAATCAATAGGGGTCATCTACCCAATATGGACAATCATCCTATGAAGTTTGAACATTGGGGGCCAAATGGAACTTAAGTTATGCTCCGGAAACCAAATTGCTAACGGACAAATTGCTAACGGACGGACGGACGGACGCCAGGGGGTATAACATAATATGCCCTTTCGGGCATATAAAAATTAATTAATTAATTAATTAATATGAATCATACACGAGTGAACCCTATAGGGGTCTCGTTGGCGGGGTGGTCACCGGCTTCAAGAAATTGCTGCTCACTGCTGTAGATTCAAATCTCGTTAGGCACTTTAGATTCTAACATGTGAAATAGCTGTGCAGCTAGCTTTATGAACGTCGGTTGTTCTACTCATGTGCACACTCATGACGAAATGGGCACCTGAGACCTTCCTCCACCTTTACAATGTTGGTGTGACAAACCCAACATAAACAAACTGACAAACCTTAGACCTTCAGAGGGTTTTTAAAAAAAAAAAACAAAAAAAAAAACAGATGAGCCCCTGTCACGACAAAACCAACATAATGGGTTTGCGACCGCAGTCTGATCAGGATCCATGCTGTTCGCTATCAGTTTCTCTACTTGTAATAGGATTTGTAAGCGAACAGCATGGATCCTGATCAGACTGCGCAAACCCATTATGTTGGTTTTGTCGTGACACGGCTCAGATATACATGTACATCATTTTAAACAAATATTTTACTTACTTAAACATCAGGAACGTCAAAATTGTGATCCCAAGGCCGATAATTGAGATAATAAGTCCAATTTTTGTAATGATGCCTAAAACGAGCTTGTCTGTGTCGGAGATATCCACAGCTTCCAGGTCCTAATAAACAAATGAGACAAAAATCATGTCTTTTTTACTAATTTGCCTGTACAATTTCAAAAATAACAACGTCTGTTACTGATGAAGATTTGATGTATAAAATAGTGTTTTTTACGTAATTCTATTATGCTTTTCCGTTAAGGAAATGACCCTAGATTAAGTTGGTGTATGTATAACTTTTGGTCCAACCCTTTTTGTATGTGCTTAAGATTTTTATGTTAAGTTATATTAATATATCATGTAAATATATACAATAAAATATTATAAAACCAAGTGCTTTTCCTATTGCTTCTGGGTTTGTTTGTTTTTTTTTTGTTGTTTTTATAAGTTTTCATTACATATAAATTTTCATTTCGAATTACTTAAAATATTTTTTTAAAAAACCACCGAGGCTTATTAAGTATTACAATTTTGTAACGCCGGAAATTTCTGCTTTCCATGTAAATACCAATAAAACATTCCGATTATTATGACGTCATAATTATTTTAAATTTCTTTTTTTGCAAAAATAGGAAGATTCTTCATACTTACTATGAGCACAGCAAAATTTGTAAGGTGGTTACACTTGCAAACAACTCGGCCATACTCGTTCGAGACTAACGTGCAACCTTTGGTATTCCAACCTCCGGCGTCTTCATTAGCGGAATAATTCCAGTAAGCGCACACAAGATTGTCGCTTTTCTGTAACAAAAAATGTAGTAAAGTTGTCTTAAAGCAACAAGGTAGGAATCAAGGTTAAAGGTAATAACCCTGCATTGACAAGCATACTTCACATTTGGACAAAACAACCTTTTGGACAAGAGCTTGTAAAAGGTCATAATGATCCAATCAAAATGTCAAACTTTGCTTAGTGTCATGAGTTTGCCGTCTACTTATGAATTATAAAAGTAGGTTGAAAAAGTTGCATTTAAATATACTTATCTATAGAATATTATTAAATTGATAAAATGAAAATACTAGTTATATGTATAACAGCAATGTTAATGATGGAAAGACCCATCAACCGATTACAACATCTATCTTTATAAACATTCAAATATGCTTTTGTAGCGACATCTACATATTGGTCCATCAAACATGCATTCTCTCCTATGTCAGGGTCGAAATCGAATTATACAAACGTCCTACCTTATAAGTGTAAAAGACAACTGTGACGTAATCATTTCCTAAATCGACGATTGGTTGGTTGTTCTTCGTCAATCGAGCTGCAGCCACTTTACTATTTATCTTAAATTTACTGCTGATTACAGAAAATAAATCCGTATTTCCGTATATTTGAAACGTTAATTTTGTTCTTTTTCCTGAAAGTACACTTACATATTTTCAAGTTGATTTTTGTTAAATCATATTTTACATCACACGACACCAAGAATAAAAAGTTTTTTATAATGAAAATTAAAGCATCTAGGGCATAATGGTCCTTTAATAACTGAAAAAATCCTTTCTTAAAAAAAGGAAATAAGTAAAGAAGTAATAATAGTTTGCTGAATCTGCTATCGGGATGCGGACGGTCACACCGGTGTAAACAGGGCAGTTACTGATTTACTTCAATATAAAGAAATGGTATAACTTTGTTTTGAAAATTAAAAAGTTGCTGGTTACCTTCAAGAAGTGACTTGGTCAGATAAATCGCCGTGTCCGTATCCGGTACTTCAACGTTGCCTGGTTCTCGAACTGGACTTAATTCATCCTTCTTTATCTCTATATTATCAGTTTTATCGAGACTGATACCAATCGTGACATTGTTTTCATTACCCGTCTGCTGCCAAATCTCGCTAACAACGAGATCTTGAATAAATTGGGCGTTACTTTTGCCAAGCAGAGCGAGATTGTTGGTTAAGTCGTCCACCGATAAAATTATTCTGAAATTACCAATTTGACTAAAGTTCTGACAGTTTCAGACAAAATGCTGATTCAAAAGGAAAATGCTGGAATTATAAATGAAATAGATACATATATCTTATGTATTTTGTACCTGAAATTTGAATATACATGTATATGATTTGATACTTAAAGTAAAATCTTGAGTCTGGTCAGTTTTCACTTTAACTTTGATTTATTTTTTACAATGCCACCCTCGAAACAAAATGATAGTTTCATGTTTTGAAACATACATGTATCTACCATCAAATGTCGAGTAAAGTCAATGGTAATTTACTATGTATTTACGGCAGAATGTCGAGTAACGTGAATGATAGCTTTACCGGTGAAATAAGACATTAGGTGTCCTTCCGTGTATTATTTCAGGCACTGACGGACAGTCGAGTATAACCACCGACGAAAGGTCTCTCACATGAAAGAAACCACTGTTCCTGTTGGGATTCGAATGTGTGTGTGTGTTTGGGTTTGTTTACCCTCGCCACCGGAAAGAGACCATATGGGCGAGCATATACTTCATTTATAACCTTTTAAAAAGGGGGAGCTGATGTTTAATTACTTATTGTTATATCCGTACATGTGTTTATGTGCATACCATATCCCCCATGACAGGGTAGTCTCTACGTACAACCTCTGCCATGGGAGGAAGATGGGGCAATCCCATACTAAGATTAAGAATTCTAAAATTAAATTATTAAAAAGCACTTATTTTAAAATTGGCCAAGACGTTTATAGAAGTTACCGTCTTTTATAACAGGTCTATCTAATATTTAGTATAACTAAATAATTTAAAAATATTACCTATAATTGTAGAGTTCGCATACTTGCGAAGAAGGCATGTCAGGAACGTTTTCTGACCAATTCATTGTGGGCTGATTATTTAAGTTGGTTTCTATTTAAATGTTATAAACCGTATACATTGGGATGCATATAATTAATTACATGTTTGTAATTAGCAGAGTTTGTTTTAAATTTTGTAATTTTTGTAAGTTCTACCGAACACCCGCTTTATAAAGTTAATTTTGATTGGTTTAGAGAGGATTGCCTCCTTTGTTCTCATTGGCCTAAAATTCTCTGTTTACAAAATAAGGAGGTCAATCCGATTTTGTGATAATTTGCAAATTTTCTTAATTTTCGGATTGACCTAATTCGACAAGTTTGTCGCGCGAAAGTGATAGAGATTTAGCAGGTGCCCGTTGCATCCAATGTATACGTGTTTTTACCAACTTTATTTCAAAATTAAAACAAATATGATAGCTAAAATGTGGTGGAAACGGCCTTATCTATTTATCACTGTCTCATGGTCTATAAATTATTATGCATCTAGATATACACACATAATAATTAATCTTCTATTACTTAAACAATTCATAGAAGAATAAGAAAAAATCTAAGTCCCAAATATGGCTAATAATAATAACTTGGTTTA